CACACACACACACACACACACACACACACACAACTTGTCTTTACTTTGCCGCCTTCTTTTTGGCTTTCTTCGTCTTTTTGGTCATTTTCTTCTGCACTTCCTCCTCTGACAGCACAGTGAAGATCTCCAGGACTGAGTCATTGCCCTGAGGGAGGACAGAGAAATGTTAAGCATTATTTACATACAAAAAACGAATATTGATCATGCATTTCAAAGTCAGAAATTCTGCTGAACACAAAAGTCCTTTAATTGTATAAAACACTAACCAACTAAGTGAAATATCTCCATCTCCAGATTAGAGACCTGAGACATTAACCATCTCCATCAAACCAACAGAGACAATAACCACAATGCCTCACTTTGCCTGGAAGTCACTTTTTGTCTGTATTCACTTTGTATGTTATAATAATAATAATAATAATAATAATGGATTACATTTTTTATTAGAGCGCTTTTACAGGTGCTCAAAGCGCTTTACAAATACACATTACACATGTAAGAGTCATTACTGTGGACATTACCCACAGGAGCAAATAAGGGTAAAGTGTCTTGCCCAAGGACACAACGGCCTGATGTTGAATAGGCTTTAGGCACAAATATTTCATGATTCTTGAAGAAGCCCTGAGATACTCTCCACTGTGTATTTCAAAAATGTTACAATTTCTCAGTGGGGTCAGGAGGAGACTCACATGGCAGGCGATGACTCTGGCTTTAGCGTCCGCTGTCAGAGACACCACTCGGTCCCGAGCCTCTCTCAGGATGGAGCCGGCTTTCTTACAGCTCAGGATCCGCTGAGAGAGAGAGAGAGAGAGAGAGAGAGAGAGAACAACGTTAAAGGTCCGTGAAATTAAATCCATGTACCACAGTATTTCCCCCCCGAAAAACATGAACTCTTTTACCTCCTCAGGACTTTCATCCAACTCTTCCTTATTGTCTTCATCATCATCATCATCATCCAGCAGAGTTTTCTCCTTCTTCACTTTGGTCTCCCCCTCAGCTTTCTCCTGAGCAGGCAGAGGACAAAACCTGTCAGTATTTACCACTTTCTCTTTCATTTTTACATTTTGATTTGATTAATTTCGAACGTGTAAAAAAATAATACAAAAAGAATATAATAATAATAATGACATGATAATTTTTATACTGTACAAACGTAAGCAGTGTCAAATTGACAAACAAAAATATTATTGACTTAATTACACATCCGAAAAGGGGTGGGAAGAAGTTTACAATTATTTAACGCCCACCCCGTAACCATGACTATTGTAATGGTCTTTAATGAGGAAGCTGTATTTAACCATGGTGGCTATCAGCGCTCCAGCTAATCTCCCATTTCTCCTTTGTATAAATCAGGATGTGTTCAGGTGAATGTCCCCAGCTGTGTTGTCTCACCTCCTGCAGGTAGTCGATGTCCCAGGCTCTGAGCTCGCTGTCAGCTGATCCTGTGAGCAGCCTGTTCTCCTGGTTCAGCAGCACCATGCCCCACACCTATCACAGAGACAATAACACACAGATTCATCAAAATCCATCCGGGGAAAACAAATACACAATATTGACATTCAAACTGTTTCCAAGTTATTGTTTAGACTTTAGGGGGCGTTACATTTTCCTAATCAGGACCTCATTTTATACGGACATGAGAACAATGCAGCACAAATGCCTTGAATCGTTAACGAGAGTGAAATATAATGTGCGGTTCGGCCCTGAAATTCAGATTAGCTTCAAAATGGACTATGTTTTTCCTTGACCCACGTTTTGTCTTGTTTGTAAAGCTTTGAGATTTAGATCACAGTCTTGCTGAAAACAAAGGCTTGGAATATTATTTCTCAAAGAGCAGTCACAATGATTTTCAAATCAAATCAAGTTTTATTTATATAGCACATTCTTAAAACGATTTTTGGTCGAGCCAAAGTGCTGTACATATAATAATTACCTTACAGTAAGGACACTATACAGTAAATACAACAGCACAGTTTGTGCAGAATATCAGTATGACAATACGACACCCTCTGTCCTTTAGACCCTCACATCGTACAAGGAAACACTTCCAGAAAAAACCCACAGATTAAAGGGGAACATGGGAGAAACCTCAGGGAGAGCATCTTATTATCAGCCTCCACTCAGCTAAATGAATTAATCCTGTCTCCACTCGCATCATGTCGCCAACAGTAAAACAATTCAATTACCTTTACGGATAAAACTCAGGGGACTGAACCCACTTTAGCTCTGCTTTAAATGCAGCCAGAGGCATCGAGAGTGAGAAGTGAGAGAACACTGATTGTTTACACGTGATGACATTCAGCTGATTTGGTCCCTGGGTTGTGCAGGTGCGTTCACACCTGCCTTGTATAGTCCGGTTGAATCGAACCCTGGTGCGGTTCATTTGGGTCGGTGTGAACACAGTCCGAGTCCTCTTAAGTGAACTAAACAACCGGACTCTGGTCCGCTAAAATAGGTGGTCTCGGAGCGCTTGCTTGTGAACTCTGGAGCGGTTCATTGCTGGTGTGAACGCAGTCCGCACCAAAACATAGGAAGCGTAGTATTTACGTGTCACAAGAACGCGGATATCTTCAAAATCTTTAGCGAATGATTCTTTCAAGACATCCGCGGTTGTTTAGTTAAAGAGTGAAGCAGAATTAAGTGTTGAACAGTGTCGTGTAAAGTAAAAATTCTCCGTGAGCTACATACAATTAAGAACACCTGTCGTCGGTGAAACGCCCCGCCTTACTGCAGAACGTCTCATTATATGTGTTATAATGTTTTTTATCGGACGTTGTCTGATTATATAATCATATGCGCGGGCCGCTAGTGTCTGTTGATCTCCAGATTAACAGCAGCATGAGAATAACCTGCCGAAAGTGCCGATGCTCCATGGCGGAGGCTCCGGTAGAAATTGCCGGGATTTGCGTGTTCACCCCCTTAATGTCTGACCAATGGTTGAACAGCATTTCCGTGCACATGACTTGTGTTTAAAGTTTATAGTCCGTTTGAGTTTTGCCCGTTTGAACGCAAACCGAACCTTCTGAAAAATGAAACAATGTCAAACTGTCGTCTGGTGCGCACCAGAAAACGGACTATTAGGTGTGAATGCACCCTGAGTTAATTCTCCTCAGTCCAACCCTTTGTTAATGTTGATGTTAATGAATATAGAGTATGAAGCCCCTCACCTCACTGCGATGGCCCACCATGGTCTTGAAGCAGTGCTGTGTGTCCAGATCCCACCACTTCACAAAACTGTCCTTGGAGCTGCAGCAGAGCACACAGACACATACATACGGTTAGTGACACTGCTATCATCACGTTATAAACAGTTAAAGGGACATTTTAAACCATTATAAAAAATATATAATGTCCCTGTAGTGCCACAACTGTTGCTCTTAAGGTTTTGAAATGAAAAAAACAATTATATATATATATAGTATTTTATTAACAAAGGGCTATGCTATTTGGTTAATTCATATTGACTATGTATTTATTGAATTACACTTGAAACATGCCGTGTGCTACGGTGATATATATTGTTATCAATATATGAAATAACCTTTAACAGGTTAAAGGATTTTGGGCATATTGCCAAACACTAATTCTAGACATCCTGACAGTTGAAGCATCAAATATTAATGTACAATACTTATCTTTGTTTTCCCTTTAACAAATAACATATGCGCAGGATCATCATTGAGGGTAAGGTGAACATATGTTTGACTTTTCTGTGTCCCCAATCTTTAATTTAGAAACGTAATAATACATTGTTATTATTGTGTTGTGTAAAGGCCCCAGTGTGTTACCTGGTGACCAGGATGTTCTTGTCTTTGAGGAACAAGGCCTCAGTGATGACGTCTTTGTGTCCTCTCAGCCTGTACAGCCCACACTCATTGATGATGTCCCACACGATCACATCTGTGTCCTGAGGGGGAGAAAGAGGTAAAAACATGCTTAACACATGCTTTAAAACATACTTTAGCAAGAAAAATAAATTCCTCCTTGCTTACCCTGGATCCAGTGACGAGCCGAGCCCCGAGTGAGTCGTAGTGCATGGCGCTGACGGCCGTCTTGTGGCCATTGAAGGAGACGTTGCTCTCGCCGTTCAGCAGGCTGAAGATCCGCACAGCGCCGTCCTCGTAACCCACGGCGAGATGGATGCCGTCGGGCGAGGCGCAGAGGAAGGTCACCTCGTGTTTCTGACCCTGCAGGATCAGGACCTGCACAGAAAGAGAGACGCTGGGTGAGATCTGCAAAGCTTTTTCACAGGAGACCCAAACCTATTCTGTGATCATTCAAAACTTTGATATCATTCACCTTCTCTCCTTTCCGGACGTCCCAGATGAACACTTGTTCACATGCAGCCACGGCGACATAGCGCCCCTTCTCTCCTCCTCGGAGGGTCACATATGCGATGTTGGCTTTCTGGCTACCGATGACTCCAAACACTGCGCTGGCCACATAGCGTAGGTACTGCTTGGTCAACCCCATGACCGGCAGCCTCTGGTAATTCTGAATACTGTTTACAACAACAAAGGAGAGATTTGAAATTAATCACACTGTGAAAAACAATAACAACTTGGATTTATATAGTGCTTTTCAATAAACACAAGTACGCTTCCTTAACAACTCCTACAGGAATCCAATGTGTCATTTTAGTTTCATGTAACAATATCTTGCTAAATATTTAAATAATATATTAATTGACCAATTCATTATGACTCATAACTTTTAATTAAGCTACCTATCAGATTCAGGACATAACGGTAATACATTTCCCAGCTACAACATTAAAGGGATGAAAACATTAATGCTTCAATCATTATAATGCATTTATATATATTAATTTCAAATGGGCATATGCATAATGAGTACTTTTAGTAATGTAAGTAACAAGTCCAGCTACATCTGATACTTTTGTAGCTTTACTTAACTAAGGTTTTGAATGCAGGACTTTTACTTATAAAACGGTGGTATTAGTACTTGTACTTGAGTTAAAGTTCCCAATTCTCCTTCCAACATTGATAATTAGGTATTGATTACACTATAACTATGTGTAATGTGTCTGTGGTGGTCCAGATAGAGATACAGTGTTTTGTTCAATTTTTATCTCCGAATTGTGTCACTTTAATATGATTACAGGTATATTCCTGTTTTTCAGTATCCAATACATAATTTGAAATAAGCGACAATTAACCTAAACGCTTACTTTTAGTAGCTTTATAGCTTGGTAAAGCACGCTAGTTTATTTAGTCAGAAGAGCGTTTGTTTTGAAACATATAATACCCCGCGTGGTCGGAGTTAAGAGCTCCTGGAACGTAAATTGACTCAATGCGCAACAAATCCCGCCCGCATAGAAACCGCTGCATTACAAATCGAGTGCACCCAACCAGGACAGACCGTTGCTTCCTGAACCCACGTGGAGAAGTTCCAGTGTTAACGTAGCTCCTAAAATCGGATATATCGTAGATTTATGTCTGCATATGTTTAACATGAAGTAAATATGTATAAGTCAAACGTAAAACATTTAAATATATATTTGTATTTCATTCTCTTACCTCTGAAATGCGGCTGCTAGCTTCACTTGTGTTTTTCTTCCTGCAACGCTGATTCAGACCAAAGCAGTCGATCACAAACATCGATGCTGACAGTATGAGCAAATGGAGCAAATATATTCACATCATCAAACTAGTGGTTGAGAGAGTATTTGTCCTTTAATTAAGTCAAAAGTAATAATGAGACCCTCTAAAGAACACTCGTTTACTGCTACTTTTTCAATACCTGCTTTTTTTTAAATGTAAAATTCTCTTACTGTCTATGCACTATTATACACCAAGAAAATCCCTTATATGTGGAAACCCAATTGACAATAAAGGGAATTATAATTATGATTGGGTTGTGATAAAAGCAAATGTCTATAGACAAACACGACAGTAAACAAGGTGCATAACTATCTAACTTTGCTCTGTCATTTTCTCTCTGTTGCTTTTGTCTGCGCTGCTAGAACAAGCACACTTGACTTGCGAAATACTTCTCGGAAAATACATTTTTTAAATAATGCTCGGATTTTATTGTAATAAACCAATGTTTTTTTTAATCTAGGTTTGCATCCAAGTTTATAAAAATATAGTGACTTATCACAGGTACCATACACAACCACAGCGGAAGTGTTCTCCTCTTATTAGTCAGCTGATTAGAAGCTGGAGAACAGATGTGTCAAATTAAAAAGAAACACCTAGAACAGGACCGGAAGTTCACTTGTATGGACCCTACACAATAAACTACTGGGTTATTTTTAAGTCAGAACATGACTACAGTAGAATCACAATGGGGAAAGAGCAGGGCAAAACAATTACATGAAACATACCCACAATAACAATTAAATGGACATTTGAAACCTACAGCGGACATACAACAAGAAGGGACTTTTCTGGAGTCATTTTTTGTCATTTTAATGTTATATATTTTGTGGGAAAACATCAGACACAACAAATAAATAAGCAGAGTATTTGTGATATGCCTTAAAAAGGGTATGGAGAGATGTTGTATTGATTCTTTATGATAGGCAGGCAGGCAGGCAGGCAGGTATACTTTATTGGTATATCACATAGAACATAGCTACAGTGTAGTTATGCCGATGAAAATCTTAGGTCACAGGCTCCTCCAATAGTGCAACACAATAACAGAGATAAACGGAAAAATATAGAGCAAGTAAATAGTAAATACAAAAAGAAAAATAGTTTAAAAAAGTGAAATAGTGCAATAAGAGTCTATATGCAAGTTATTGTAATGATATTAGATAAATAGATAAATATATAGCAGATGAATGTTATGGATGTTGTTTCAACAGTTCAGGTGTTTAACACATTTTGCTTCAGCAGTTCAGGTGTTTAATAGTCTTATGGTCTGTGGGATCAATCTGTCCCTGAGTCTGGTGGTTTTAGTCCGGATGCTGCAGTACCGCCTGCCAGACGGCAGCAGACAGAACAGTTTGTGGCTGGGGTGATGGGGGTCTTTTATAATCCTGAGGGCTTTCTTCCTGAGCCGCTGGGAGTAAAGGTCCTCCATGGATGGCAGCTCCGTCCTGGTGATGTTCTGTGCAGTTTTCACCACCCTCTGTAAAGCCTTACGATTGAGGGTGGTGCAGCTGCCGTACCAGGCCGTGATGCAGCCAGTTAGGATACTCTCAATGGTGCACCTGTAGAAGTTGCAGAGTATCCTGGAGTCCATATGAGATCGTAGTGAGTGAGTCGTTCACTCATCTTCCATTATCCTAACAATATATTTTTCCTCGTAAGCAGGGCTACATCGTTCAATATAAGAAGCAGTTAACTCAAGTACAGCTTCTGTACAATTTGGAGGTACTTTTATTTTTACCTTGCACAATATGCAATTTTATATTTCGCCACATTTGGAGACAAATATTGTATTAATTGTAATTTACATTAAGATTATGAATTCATACTATACTAATATGCGCAGTTATGTGATATGTTCTGTTTAGTTGTCTTATATTGCGTTTTTGAATTTGAATGAAATACTTAAAGGATGTTGGACTCTTGTTCTGAAATCCTTAACCGGATGTTGTTGCGTTCACCTTATGTTACTTTGACGCTGCAGCAAGCACCTAGCATACAGGCTAAATGTTGAAAACTGGTAAATTGGCACTTTTTAAACCTACTGTTTTGAGAATTCTTTCCATAACTCTGCTCGTTAGTATGAGGACACTCTGGAAAGACACTCGTTCTTGAGTTTACAAATAGTCGTGTCAAGATTTATGTGTTATTTATTTATTTTTTGGCGTGTACATCCCAGCTGCCTGGAGGAAATACAAGAGTCGAGGTGAGTAAACTGCTGCTCTTTGGTCCAGAGGCCAAATCACTGATAATCGATTTTAAGCAAATGTTCCTCTATGGGACTGTCGTAAATATGTTTAGAAAGATTTAACACAGTTCAGTTATTAGTGTAAAATCACATTTTTGATAGTAGCACGACTGTTTCCTTCTTTGTTTCTCACTGTCTTTATTTGGTTTAGTTAATTATATGCTTTCACAGAGCAGCAACCTAGAGGTTAATTAATCATAAGTATGTCGTGGTTGTCTTGAAGCAGACAGTGAAAGTACAACAAAGAAAAAACATTACATTTTTACAGGATTATTGCCACTTGTGTTTCGATTATTCTCTGTAAAATGATCTGAAACGGATTGAAAATCTATTTATGGTCATTTAAATTTGAAACATGCAGCAAATAATCACTATTGATCAGCTTTGAGAGCTTTATTTCGACATTTGTGTATTGATAAATGATAGTCTAAATCAAAAATTTGCAATAGTATTCTGTAAATTGAATACTTGTATGAAAAACTAAATTATTAATCCTCACATAACTTGTCTTTAGTACCACTTCCTGTGTTTCCCTGTGCATTTATTTAGGTTACTGAACAGAGAGTGTGTTGTAGTGTTTATGATGAAGCATGGTCTTCATCATGTCTTAAGTATCTCCAGATATGACCAATTTCCTTCTGACAAAGTCATGTATTCAGTATTCCCTTTATTCCGTTTTCTCGTCTTTAATTATTTGAAAAAGCATGTGTTTAAAACTCCTTTAAACTGAAACAGACCTATTAAAGAAGTGTTCTTATGGCTTAAAGTTGAATACAAACACTTTTTTTTTTAAAGCTTGAATGCTAAGAATTCTGTTTTTGGCCTCATGATTTCCTGCTTTTCTCTGTTTTTATACGCATTGATCAGAATATCTTCTTGTATTTAGTTTTGGATTATCAAAACAAGACACTCAAAGGCAACACCATGAGCATTCTGACATTTTATAGAACAAAAAAACAATAATCGATTAATCAGGAAGACAGTCAAGAGTTAATAGAAATAATAGTGAGTTGCAGCTGTCAGATATGTAACTTGCACGTGTATTTTGGGGGTTGCCAATTAAAATATCGAGATGGATCAGGATAGATGCTAGAAAAGAAAACACAAACTCAAATAACAACGTGTTCAAGACCGCATTTACACAGGAACGTTTGCGTTTACGCACCAAATTCGTTTTCAAAAAAGTCTTCCGTTCACACGCATTCGGCTCATTTAACGTGTCCGTTCACACGAGACCACTGGAGATGCTGTAGTACATATGCCGGGCCTATAAGTGTCGCTGTATTCTGCCACAAATTACACCAAAAGCAGCGAAGAAGACCCCGAGCATGGTTGCCATGGTTGCCCTTCTGTTTATGCCCCGCGGTAGACCTCGTAACCCACGGCGAGATGGATGCCGTCGGGCGAGGCGCAGAGGAAGGTCACCTCGTGTTTCTGACCCTGCAGGATCAGGACCTGCACAGAAAGAGAGACGCTGGGTGAGATCTGCAAAGCTTTTTCACAGGAGACCCAAACCTATTCTGTNCGCATTTACACAGGAACGTTTGCGTTTACGCACCGAATTCGTTTTCAAAAAAGTCTTCCGTTCACACGCATTCGGCTCATTCACACGAGACCACTGGAGATGCTGTAGTACATATGCCGGGCCTATAAGTAGCGCTGTATTCTGCCACAAATTACACCAAAAGCAGCGAAGAAGACCCCGAGCATGGTTGCCCTTCTGTTTATGCCCCGCGGTAGATTTAGCAACATGTAGTTCATGTAATTCTCCATTTCCACTGGTTGCTGATGGTTGTGGTAGAGGAGCTGTAGATGTTGCGTTCCGGTTGCAGATCTATCCACCTTGGGACCCGTTATCGTTTGCGAGGTCGGTTTCCGCTTTTCCGTTA